AAATGCCAATGAGCCATGAAACCAAGCAGGGAGCTATGAACCAGGAACAGGTCCAGGTCACATAGGCAGCCAACAACTGGAGGGGGCATGTGGCACTAGGAGCCCGGATGGCTAAGCTCCTTTTAGCACTGAGCTCGGGGCACATGGACCCCTTGCTGGTCCCACCCTCAGGGCATACTTTAACAACTCAGGATGCAACCTGGAGATAGTGATGGAGGAAAATCCAAAGAGAATATAAAAAGGAATGAGATAGCGAGGCCACACCAAAGGAAGGACTCAGAAGGTCCTAGGGTAGAAATGTGACAGGATACATTTACAATGGAAATGCTACGGCAAGCAGCTGGAAATGTGTGTAAACAGATACAACCTGATATGTAAAACATAGGAAGAATATTTTTTTATGCTGCTGTAGATTTAGAAATCTTTTATTTTTTACATTATCTTTACGGTAACAGTTTTTTGTTGCTGTACAGTTCTATTAATTTTAACACAAACATAGAGAAGTGTAGCACCAAAATTGATATTGAACAGTTCCATCACCCCCCAAAACTCCCCTATGCTATCCCTTTCTGCTCACACCCTTCCCCACCCTATCCCTTGTCAACCACGTTTCCATCACTGTATTTCTGCCTTCCAGATTGTGGCATAAATGAGATGTATGGGACCTTTGAGACTGGCTTTTTTCACTCAACATAACACCCCTGAGATTCACCTGAGTTGTATTGTGCATCAACAGTTGATCTGTTTTTACTGCTTAATTAACAAATACAGGTGGACCTGGGAGATACTGCAGGTTGGATTCCAGAACACAGCAATAAAGCAAGTACTACAATTAAGTGAGTCACAGCCATTGTTTGGTTGCTGTGCATATAATAGTTATGTTTATAATGCATATAAAAGTTATGTTTAATTATACTTTAGTCTATTAAATGTGCAGTAGCATTATGTCTAAAACAAACATGTACATACCTTAATTAAAAAATACTTTATACTACAAAGCTACAGTAATCAAAACAGTATGGTACTGGCACAAGACAGATAGATCAATGGAACAGGATAGAAAGCCCAGAAATAAACCCACACACTTATGGTCAATTAATCTATGACAAAGGAGGCAAGAATAGACAATGGAGAAAAGACAGTCTCTTCACTAAGTGGTATGGGGAAAACTGGACAGCTACATGTAAAAGAATAAAATTAGAACATTCTCTAACATCATATAGAAAAACAAACTCAAAGTGGATTAAAGACCTAAATGTTAAGACCAGATACTATTAAACTCCTAGAGAAAAACATAGGCAGGACACTCTTTGACATAAATTTCAGCAATATTTTTTTTGGATCCATCTCCTAGAGTAATGGAAATAAAAATAAACAAATGGGACCTAATGAAACTTAAAAGCTTTTGCACAACAAAGGAAACCATAAACAAAACGAAAAGACAACCTATGGACTGGGAGAAAATATTTGCAAACAATGCTACCCACAAGGGATTAACGCCCAAAATATACACACAGCTCATACAACTTAATATCAAAAAAAAAACCCCAATTAAAAAATGGGTAGAAGACCTAAACGGACATTTCTCCAAAGAAGACATACATATGGCCAAAAGGCATATGAAATGATGCTCCATGTCGTTAATTATTAGAGAAATGCAAATCAAAACGACTATGAGGTACCACCTCACTCCAGTCAGAATGGCCATCATCAAAAAATCTACAAATAAATAGTGGCCAGGGTGTGGGGAAAGGCAACCTTCCAAACTGCTGGTAGAAAGGTAAATTGGTGCAGCCACTATAAAGAACAGTATGGAGGTTCCTTAAAAAACTAAAAACAGACTTAGCATATGATCCATCAATCCCACTCCTGGGCATATATCTAGAGATTAGCATATGATCCATCAATCCCACTCCTGAGCATATATCTAGAGAAAACTCTAATTTGAAAAGATACATGCACCGCAAAGTTCATAGCAGACCTATTCACAATAGCCAAGACATGGAAACAACCTAAATGTCCATCAACAGATGAATGGATAAAGAAGATGTGGTACATACATATGATGGAATAATACTCAGCCATAAAAAAAAAGAATGAAATAATGCCATTTGAAGCTACATGGATAGACCTAGAGATTATCATACTAAGTGAAGTGAATGAGACAAAGACAAATACCATACATCACTTGTATGTGGAATCTAAAAAAATAATACAAAAAAACTTATTTACAAAATAGAAATAGACTCATAGACAGAAAACAAAATTACGGCCACCAGAGGGGAAAGTTGGGGAAGGGATAAATTAAGAGTTTGGGATTAACATACATATACTACTGCTATATATAAGACAGATAAACAAGGACCTAGTATATACTACAGGGAACTATATTCAATATCTTGTAATAACCTATAATGGGAAAGAATCTGAAAAAGAATATATATATGTGTGTGTATATATATATATATACACACATACATATATATGTATAGCTGAGTCACTTTGCTGTACATCTGAAACTAACATAACATTGTAAATTAACTATACTTTTTTTTTTTTTTTTTTGCAGTACGTGGGCCTCTCACTGTTGCGGCCTCTCCCGTTGCAGAGCACAGGCTCCGGACGTGCAGGCTCAGCGGCCATGGCTCAGGGGCCCAGCTGCTCCGTGACGTGGGATCTTCCCGGACTGGGGCATGAACCCATGTCCCTTTCATCTGCGGAGCACAGGCTCGGACGTGCAGGCTCAGCGGCCATGGCTCAGGGGCCCAGCTGCTCCGTGACGTGGGATCTTCCCGGACTGGGGCATGAACCCATGTCCCTTTCATCAGCAGGCGGACTCTCAACCACTGCGCCACTAGGGAAGCCCAACTATACTTTAAAAAATGTCTTCATATAAAGAAAACCTTTATTGTTAAAAAAATGCTAACTATCATCTGACAAGGCAGGGTTGCCACAAACATTCAACTGGTAAAAGAACACAATTATCTGCAAAGTGCAGTAAAGTAAGGCACAGTAAAACAAGGTCTGCCTGTATACTGTACGAATGTATTGATATCACAGTTTATTTACCCATTCACCTGCTGAGGGATGTTTTGGTTGTTTCCAGTTTTTGACAATTATGAATAGAACCACTATAAACATTCATGTACAGGTTTTTATATGGACAATTCTTTTGTTTCTCTAGGATGAATACCCAGGAGTGGTATTGCTGGGTATTATGGTAAGTGTATATTTAGTTTCACATGGAACTGCCAAAATACTTTCCAGGATGGCTGTAGTATCTTGCTTTCCTTCTAACAATATAAGCAATTAAGAGTTCCAGTTGCTCCACATCATTGGCAGCACTTGGTATTGTCAATATTTTAAATTTTAGTCATTCTAATAGGTCTGTTAGAGGTATCCCACTAGATATGGTTTTAATCTGCATTTCCCTAATGGTTAATGATGCTGACCATTGTTTCATTGTTTATTTGCCATCCTTATATCCTTTTTAGGGAAGCATCTGTTCAATCCTTTGCCCATTTAAAAATTATGTTTGTTTTATTTTTGCTGCCTTTTGCAAGTTCTTTATATATTCTGGATATGAGTCCTTTGTTGGATATCTAATTTGCAAATACTTTCTCCTAGGCTGTGGCTTCTTTTTGAAAATTCTATTATAGTGTATTTTGCAGAAAAAAATTTTTAATTTTGATTAAGTCCGATATATAAATCTTTCCTCTTAGGGATCTTGCTTTTGGTGTCATGTCTAAGAACTATCTGCCTACCCTGATGTTCAGAATATATCCAGTGTTTTCTTCTAAAACCTTTACTTAGACCTACAATATATTTTGAGTTAACTTTGAATATAAAGTATGAGATTTAGGTCAATGTTCCTTTTTTCTGCATATGGATAGACAACTATTCCAGCACTGTTTGTTGAAAAGGTTATCCTTTCTCCATTGAATTTCTTTAGCACGTCTACCAAAAATCAAAAGGCTGTATGTGTGCCGGTCTACTGAACTCTTTAATCTGTTCCATTGATCTATATGTCTATCCCTTCACCATACCACACTGTTTTTATTACTGTAGCTTTATTTTAATCTTAAATTTGAGTAATGTGATTCCTCCCCTGTTAGTCTTCTTTTTCAAAACTGTTTTTGCTATCCTAGTTCCTCTGCTCTTCCATATAAATTTTAAAATCAGTTTATTTGTATCTACAATATTTGCAATATAGCACATTCCTTTTTGGTAAAGGGGATAAGCAAGTGCCTGAGATGGGATGGAGGTTGTTGGTAAATATAGAAGGCACACTCTAGAAGTAAAGGGGATGGCAGTTAAAAAAAAAGACAAAGGTCAAAAACTAAGAAGACAAATAACTGATCTGTTCTTAGCTCACTCTTTGTTATCAGAGTTCTAGTAGGTAATGAATAGCAGCATAGGGTTGTGTTGAGGTCCATGATGAACCATGAATTATTAGCAGCAAATGTGGACTCCTTCTCAAAATCACATGTGAAGAGCTCTCCAAAGACTGAAATGAGAGGCAGTGGCACCACAGGTTTAGCAGTGCTCAACTGGGCACGAGAAGTACGTAATCAGAGATTGTTTCCTCTTCCAAATAATGAGAGAACGATTAGCTTAATTCTCTTCATTTAAGATGGTCAGGACAAAATAATCTAATTTACAGATTTACCAATTACAAGACACACCCAGAGCCAATTTTCAAAAATGTACATATGAAGTAAAATGTTTTAATCCTAAAGCAGCATTCAACTGAATACTGTTTGGTGACCCAGAAGGTATTTCAAGACCCCAAAGTATCTTTGCATCATCCTTAGTGCATCAAAAAGGTTCTGCTTCTTTAACCTTGCTACAGTCTGAATTCTGGATGGAGGGGAGCTCTTTGTGAGCTTCTACCCTTTTCATGCAAGCCTAGGTTTCTTAGGTGGATTAAGTGAGCTGAACACAAATTCTGTGGGAGACAGAGATCCCAGATCTCCCAGTTTAAACACACGTTTGCTCACCTGATTGTGAATCCAGAGAGCAGGAGGGTGGTTTGTGTATTTCACTGCCAATTCTATCATTCTCTCTTGTTCTAGCAGTCTGGGGCTGGAGCATATTGAGAACCCACCAACCACAGAGACTCCTGGGATAAAGAAGTCAACCCTAAAAGGAAAGGCAAGTAAATGACTATTGCTGAAGCAATTTTAAAAGTGGGTAGTAAGGTAAACAAAACTGACAAACTTTTAGCTAGACTAAGAAAAAAGGAGAAACAAATAAAATTACTAAAATCAAGAATGAATGATGGGACATTACCACCAACCTCACCAAAAAAAAAAAAAAAAGATAATAAAGGAATTCTATGAATAAGATAAAAAATTAGCTAACTCAGATGAAATGGACACATTCCTTGAAAGACACAAATTACCTAACTGGACTCAAGAAGAAACTGAGGGCTTCCCTGGTGGTGCAGTGGTTGAGAGTCTGCCTGCCGATGCAGGGGACATGGGTTCGTGCCCCAGTCCAGGAAGATCCCACATGCCGTGGAGTGGCTAGGCCTGTGAGCCATGGCCCCTGAGCCTGCGCATCCAGAGCCTGTGCTCCGCAACGGGAGAGGCCACAACAGTGAGAGGCCCACGTACCGCAAAAAAAAAAAAAAGAAAAAAAAAAGAAGAAACTGAAAATCTGAATGACCCATAATAAGTAAATGGATTGAATCAGTAATTTTAAAACTTCCCACAAGAAAAGAACAGGTCCAGATGGCAGCACTGGTGAACCCTATCAAACATTTAACAAAGAATTAATGCTAATCTTTCACAAATACTTCCAAGAATCCCAGAAAAGAACACTTCCCAACTTATTCTATGAGGTCAGTTACCCTGATACCAAAACCAGACAAAGCTATCACAAGAAAAGGAACTATAGATCAACATCCCTTGTGAATATAGATGCAAAACCCCCAGAATTACAAGACTGGTTTAACATATGAAAATCAATCCAATGAAATAAACCCACTTAACAGAATAAAGGCCAAAACCCATGTGATCATCTCAATAGATGCAAAAACGGCATCTGACAAAATTCAATACCCTTACCTAATAAAAATACTCAACAAACCAGGAATAAATGTGAACTTCCTCAACATGATAAAGGCAACTATAAAATATCTACAGCCAACATCATATTTAACCTTGAAAGGCCAAAAACTCCCCCACTAAGAACAGAAGACCAAGATGTCTGCTCTGACCACTTCTACTCAACATTGTACTAAAGGTTCTAGCCAAGGCAATTAAGCAAGAAAATGAAATAAAAGGTATCCAGATTGGAGGGAAAGAAGTTGCAGATGACTTAATATCGTATATAGAAAATTCCAAGGAATTTACTATAAATATATTAGACTAATAAACAAGTTCAAATAAGGCTGCAGGATTTAAAATCAGTAATAGGGCTTCCCTGGTGGCGCAGTGGTTGGGAGTCCGCCTGCTGATGCAGGGGATGCGGGTTCGTGCCCCGGTCTGGGAGGATCCCACGTGCTGCGCAGCAGCTGGGCCCGTGGGCCATGGCCGCTGGGCCTACGGGCCCAGAGTCTGTGCTCCGCGGCAGGAGAGGCTACAGCAGTAAGAGGCCCTCGTACCACAAAAAAAAAAAAAAAGATAAAATCAGTAATAAAAACCAATTTTACTTCTACACACTAGCAATGAACAATCTAAATGTGAAATTAAGAAAAATAATTCTATTTATAATAGAATAAAATAATAACTGGGAATAAGCGTAAAAGAAGTTTAAGATTTGTACACTGAAAACTACAAAGCATTGTTGAAAAAAATCAAAGAAGATCTAAATAAACAGAAAGGCTTCTCATGCTCATGGACTAGAAGACCTAACACTGTTAAGATGGCATTAGTGCCCAAAGTGATCTACAGATTCAATACAATACCTAGCAAACCCTAGCTGGTTTCTTTGCAGAAACTGACAAGTTGATCATAAAACTGATATGAAATTCAAGGAACCCAGAATCACAGAAGAATAAATTTGCAGGATTCATACCTTCTGATTTCAAAACTTATTATAAATCTATAGTAATGAGGACACTGTGTACTGGTGTGAGGACAGGCGCATATATCAATGGCAAAGAACTGAGAATCCAGAAATAAACTCTTAGATTTATGGTCAACTGATTTTCAACAACAATACCAACACAATTCAATGGCAAAAGAATAGTTTTTTCAACAAGTCGTGCTGGTTTTGTAGTAATCTATAAGGGAAAAGAACATGTGTGTGTGTGTGTGTGTGTGTGTGTGTGTGTGTGTGTGTACAGACACACACACACACACATATATAAATAACTGAATCACTTTGCTGTACACCTGAAACTAACACAACATTGTAAATCAACTATACTTCAATTAAAACAAACAACAAGTGGTGCTGGGACAACTGAATAGCCACACAAAAAGAACAAAGTTGGACCCCTACATCACACCATATACAAACATTAACTCAGATCACAGACTTAAATATAAAAGCTAAAATTATAAACTCTTAGAAGACTTACACAGGAGTAATTCTTCATGGCAACAGATACTTAGAAATGACACTGAAACACAAAGGTCAAAGAAAAAATGGAGAAACTAGACTGCATACAATGAAAAACTTTGTGCCACAAATGATACCATCAAGAAAAAGATGACTCTCAGAATGGGAGAAAATATTTTCAAATCATCTATCTACTAAGGGACTTGGATATACATTATATAAAGAACTCTTAACAAGTCAGTAATAAAAAGACAACTCAAGTAAAAAATGGGCAAAGGATTTGTACAAATGTTTCTCCAAAGAAGATATACAAATGGTTAATAAGTACATGAAAAATCCTCAACATCATTAGTTATTAGGGAAAGGCAAATCAAAATCACAATGGGCTATCACTTCACACTCACTAGGATGGATGGCCAATCAAAAAGACAATACCAAGTGTGAGTGAGGATCAGAGAAATCAGAACCCTTACCCATCGCTGATGGGAATGTAAAATGGTCTTGCCACTTTAGAAAACAATTTGGCAGTGCCTGAAAATGTTAAACATATGTGACCAGCAATTCCACTCCTAGGTATATACCGAAGAGAAAAAATATATATATGTCCACTCAAAAGCATGTACATGAATGTTCACAGCAGCATTACTGATAATAGTCTAAAAGTTTCAAAATAATCTAAACATTCATCAACTGATGAATGCATAAACAAAATGTGGTACATCCACACGACGGAATTAAATACGGATCACATGCCACCATATCGATGGACAACAAAATGATGTTAAGTTAAAGAAACCAGTCACAAAAAAAGATCACATACTGTATATTTCTATTGATATTAAATGTCCAGAAGAGGCAAATCTGCAAAGACAGACAGTAGAACAGTGATTGCCTAAGAGGGTGAGGATGGGGACTGAATGATAATCAGTGCAGAGTTTTTTTCTGGGATGATGAGAACGTTCTAAAATTTGTCTGGGCTGATTGATCACCGTACAGTTCTGTGAATATACTAGAATTCACTGAATTGTACACTTTAAATGAGTGAATTTTATGATATGTAAAGTATATCTCAATAAAAGTTTTTAAAAAGTATGGGGAAAAAATGGCAACAAACACTCTCTCACTGGCATTTGAAAAACTAAACAGGCTGATGCGGGCTCCTAAGTTCCAAGAGTCTCATTTTCCTTCTTCTCTTCTAACCATTCTCCCGTAGTCGAGAACTCTCGGGAGTCTCAAGCCTTCTACTGAATTGAATTCTATGCCACAGAAACTTTTTTGGGGGGAGCTGGGGGTGGGGATTCTAGGAAATGCAACAAATCTAGTCACATACCAAGGAAAGAGAAACTTATTAGAAACTGGGACCACAGGAAATTCTCATCTTCATGTCCAGGAAACTCAAATATCCAATATAGCTGTTTCTCAGCCATCAAAGAGCGACAGTATTAAAAAAAAAAAAGCAATAGTATCATTTCCCTCCAGTTGCTTCCCTACCAGCAGGCTTACCCAAAAAGCACTTGATGTTCTCTCCTGATGTGATCTATGTATGGCCTTAAAAGATGTTCTCTTCTCATCTCTGGCCTTATATATCTGGTCATTTTTTTATAGTCTTAGAAAACCAGTTCTGGACTGGAAGTGCTCCAGAAAAAGTTCCCAGGCTGTTTTCACATTTATTCACTTCCTTCTTTCCCATGAATATTCTAATTCCCCTTCCATTTCAGACAAGATACAAATTTTAAAAGACTATAGTTAACATTTATTAACACAGTTGCTACATGCTTTCAGTGAAGAGGTAAATGGCATCTCCATAGCTTCTGTGTTTAAAAAAATTAATCTCTGAGCTACTTTTGCTGCTTTATCTCCTGAACTATAGCACCCTCTGCTGCTTGATGTTGATAAAGACCTTTCTCTCAGGTGAGTGAAAGGGAATCCCTCTTCTCTAGTAACTCTGGAAACCCTTTGCCTTTAAAAGGACTCCTTCATGAAATGCTACAGAAGAACCTCATCTGAATGGACTTAAGAAAATATGTACAATACGTATTTAATAAAACATCTTTCCAAGAAAGAATTAAGTTTTAAACACACAAGGGCGCACACATGCACCCCTTTAAAAATGCCCTCTGCAGGATCAGCAACCAGATGAGTGAGTACATGAAGAGCTGAGAGAAAGAACCCAATTCTGTAGTGAAGCGTACATATCCACATCCAATGTGACACACCAGGCAGCCCCATCCTGCCCCAGGGCCCAGCACAGAGCAGGCACACAAACCACAGCCGAACGACAATGCTTTAGCCGTCAGCTACCATACTTGGCAAATGCGACAGACGGCATCTGCCCACCATGAACAGGCACTGGGGTTGGTGTTGCAGGTAAAGATGCAAGTATGTCTTGGTTCCTGCCCTCAAAAAACTCCCAAGTGGGAGGAAAATTAACAAATAAACACGATTAATGGGGCTATGACAAACTCTGCTTGGCAGAGAGAAAACGCTCATCATTTGAGATCTGTCTGGAAGTACCTGTACTTAGTATAGGTTTCGTCTTAGCTCCAACATATGTGATCCTGATTTTCTCAGGCAAACACTAATAAAGCCGCTGCTTTACTTTAAAAAAAAAAAAAAACTTGCTTGGGGGG